AGCAGCGGCGCGCCCCGCACGCGCTCCCCGCCCGCACCCGCGCTCGGTCCCGGCGCCCTCTCCGCAGCCCCTCCCCGGCCTTTCTGTCCCCCGCCCGGCGCTGCGTCCCACGGTCGCAGCCTCGGGTGGAGGGGACCGCGGGGAAGTGCAGCTTCCCAAGCCCCTTTCCGAAAACCCCGGGAAAGGGTCGCCCCGGCTGTGGGCTTTCTGCCCGCCCGGCCCCGGTGTCCAGAGGCGGCGCTGGCCGTGTTCCCGTCCCCGCCGTTGGTCTGCTCGCACTTATAAAAAGTCCCAGGTTCGATTTTTGGTTTGGGTCGGGAGGCTGAATTGGCTTCTGAAACATTTCGTTTTTTGTTTTTTTTTTAACTCAAACTCGAGGTAATACGGGAGATTCGGAGCAAATAACTTTTTCTTCCCTTCTAAGCTTATCACTTGGGTCTGATTGTTAGATCCTTGGCTGTGGGCGTGCTTGTACTGTTCCTGCTAAATCAACAGATTTAAAACACACACAACTGTCTTAAGACCTCTGGCCTTGGCTCCCAATCTTCCCATTTTTATGAAAGGTTGTTTCCTTTTTAAACATACTAATTCTAATATGCAAATAAGGTAGGTGATGATTACCAGAAGTTCACCAGGTTTGAAAAATCTGTTAACTCTTTGAGGCCCCTTATAAATATTCATTGCTGTGTGTTATTGAAGTTACCTGGAACTTGACATATACAGACAGAAAAACTTAAAAGACAAAATTCACCATTTTATTCCCCTCCCTCCGAAATCCTTAAAAGTTTCATCCATCTAAAAAAAAAATAGTAAAATAAAAGACATTAATTTTTATACTGACTGAGCATTTGTGTGACTCTTTACTACACTAATTTATTTATGTTTTTAATTTAAAGATATATCTAAACAGTTGAAAACTCAATGCATTAAGACAAATATATTCCAAGACAGGATGCATTTCATCCATTACACTTTATGGTTTTTTTGGTGACTTGGAAATTTGTGACTGAGCAATGTTTCCATCCCTGCATCAAAACTTTTCTCAACCCTCAGTAGCTTTAACATCCAAACTCCAGCACACCAGAACACACTACAGAACACACTACAGCCTTTCCTCTTCCCCTGCCATTAATTTAATAAAAATATGTGAAGGGCAGCAGGGCAGGAGTGGCTCAGTTGGTTGACTGTATCCTGGTGCACCACTTGAAAAGCTGCAGGTTCCATTCCCTGTCAGGGCACACACCTGGGTTGTGGTTTGGTCCCCAGTCAGGGAGATTAGGGAAGGCAACTGATTGATGTTTCTCTCTCTCTCTCTCTCTCTCTCTCTCTCTCTCTCTCTCAGCATGTCCTCAGGTGAGAATATTTATATATATATACATACATATGTATGTATATATATATATATAAAATATACAGTTTACCTTATGCTACAACGTGCTAATGTGCTGGGTGACCAAAGCTGCTCTTTCTCAAATTGTGTGTATGTATGTGTGTGTAAGGTTAATACCATAAGAGCCTTAACTTTCTAAGTTAACAGCTGAGTAGGATAGTGAAATTGTCCTTGCTGAAGTGATAGCAGTTATAATAGGCCAATGTATCAATCCTTACCTATAATTAATAAAGCCTCTCTAGAAACGTCTTACTCCCAAAGAGTGACTCCAATAGTAGATTTTTATAGACAGCAGAACTTCTCTCCCTCAAATCCCCCTTAACTCACTCTTGTAGGAGGCACAGCCCTGCCCACCCCCTTATCTGAGGTTTTTGTTTTTGTTTTGTTTTTAGATGAAAACAGTATTAGAGTTCCCTATGACAATGGACAGAAGAGAGTAAGGGCCACAGCTGGGACTCCAAAAATAAATAGAAAGGGGAAGACATAAGGGAAACCTCTAAGTGGGATTCCAGATTTCTGAGCATAGAGAGTTCATTAAACTTCTTCTAAGTTCAGTGGCATCTCAATTCTAGTTAGTACAGATGATGAATTTTGGATTAATTTACTTGAAAATAGTGAGATCCTTCAAGTTCTTTCAAGGACAAACCAATATGTAAACACGTTTTTTGAAATTCAACACTTCCTTTGCAGCTCCATCATTTCTAATTCAATACTGCTCTGAGTTACAGGAAAATACTGCAAAAGTGTTAATGTCAGGTTTACACTGCTCTCAGCCCATCACCCCTTCTACTTCTCTCTTAAGGTGTAAAGCACTCACCTTAACTAATCAAGGGGCTCAAAAGGAAATTAGATTTAATTCTTGTTACTTAGTCTCTGGTTATTTTTAAATGGTTTATAATTAGAGCAATACTACCTTCTAGGACACCTTTTGTCCACTCAGAGCAATTTAAAACATAAGTTATCACCGAAGTCCCTCTCTGGGGCTCATACAGATTAGGTCACTTTTGCAAATTTAAATGGGCCAGATTCCTGAAAGAAATGAGGACACAACTAAAAATAAATCAAGGGCAAGTAGGTATTTTAATAAAACAAATTTCCAATTACTGCATAATGCGTTTTCAGCATTATACACTTGTTCAGATATACCCTATATAAAGGAACAAATGAAATATTACAAAGGCAGAAATTCAGGAAAAGAGCTGATAACATAATTTACATTAAAAATATTTTTTTTGTTTAATTATTTAACTATTACCTGCTGTTGAATAAAATACAGAAAACTAGAAAGAACAAGAAAATTAAAATACACATACCTCCACAACCCCATGGGATCTATCGTAGGACAGGCAACATGCACTCTAAGAAGCTGGCCCAGCACCTATTAGGGCAACCAAGGGACAGTCTGGGATGCCATGTGGTCTAAGGGATGCCTGTGCCAAGATCTGGACCCCGACTGGTGGCAGCAGCCACAGGAGAGAGGAGGGGTCCCTCATGAAGATAAATTGGCTTTTCCTTCCTTCCCCAGAGCCAGTCTTGTGGCATCTGCAAAGAATTAAAAGGCTGTCAAAAACTGATTGTGATCTTGCAATTTCTGGCTTGCAGGCAATAAACCTGGTCAGTAAATTACTACAAGATAAAAGCATACACGTGTACATTGCAGTAAAGCAGACCAAGAACTTACTAGATTTCTTCAGAGTTTAGAATCTCTTGTTTAGAAACTGTGGCTACATTGCAAAGCAAATGTCTACAGTCTTAGAAACAGAAATTAAATATTAAGATTATTGTATATAACAGAAAAATAGTATTTTCATGTAAATGAAAATTTAATCACATACATCTTTGTTTTACATTTTAATTATATACAAATCAAAATGCTACTACTGTGGTAGGCAGTTAGACAGACATGAGCATTAGACAGACATGAGCAGAGCAAGGACAATGGGACAGACAGGTACAGAGGGTCACCAGGGTGAAAAGCCCCAGCTGCCTAGCAAAAGACATTGTAGGGTGGGGCCTTGCCCCCAGGGTGACCTTTCCTCCCCTAGCATATAGCTGGTCAAGGGATTTGGACCCCCTGACCTTTCCTCCCTAGAGATAACATCTAGGCCTCAGTTGTATTTCAGCTCCAGGCCCAGAAAAGCAACAAAACCAAACAAGGCGACCCCATGGCTGACCTCAGGACGAACTACACTGGACAATGACCCCCCTGCCTTGGTGCCCACCTAGACCCTGAAAGGACATACCTAGTAACTTGCCGAATATTCTATTAGGACCTTCCCCTAAAATCTCCACCCTTAAAAGCCTTAGGACAGAGGACCCAGCATGCTCGCCCTGGTGGAAGCAAGCCCTTGCCTTTCCCTTCCCCCATTTCCTCCCCCTCCCCCAGGTGCCTTACCTCTCTGCCTTCCTCACTCCCAACTCCAAGGGCCCTTCCTTTACCTCTATAACTTGTTTCCTAAGCCTTTTTCTTCTATGAATTACTTCTTCCACCTCTGTGATTTTC